GGAGGACTGTGCCTTTTTAATGAATATGACAAGTGTCTCAGCATTTTAGCAATAAGAAAATCACATGCCAAGTGCCATTGGTCTCTATTCTGCACTCTACACTATAGGACCCCTGTATTTGCATGGAATGCCAATGAAGTTAATGGAGCAAAATGTGTCACAAATTGCTATTTATGCAGAGTCAATGGCAGGATCTGGGCCTTAGTAGTGTTTTCCTGTCTATTTAAGTATAAAGTTAAAGTAAGCAAAGGGTGGTGTCACACAGAAGTCAACAACTCCTCCTCTCAGAGCAAATGCCCTACATAACTAAGTGAGCTAAAGATGGGAATTACCTTTGTGTCAGAACCAAAAAAATAATCAGTGTCTTCCTCATCACATGCTCATGCTCAGCAATTGTCATGTTTGCTGAGTGCACTTTGTTCAGTATGACTAATAATCTGGGGGAGGCTGCAAGCTAACCAATTCAGGATAGCAGTGGAAGAGAGTATGCCTCTGGCTGCTGCATGTGTGTCATGTTTCAGGGTTAGCTGCACCTCTGTCCCCTTTTCTGGGGTGTCTAACTGCCCCCGGCTCTCCGGTGTCAGACCTCGAACCTTCAAATTCTCTGAGGCAGAATCCTGCAATTCTCCCATTCTGAGGCAGAGTGTTGGGTTACATTGCCCTGTGTATTAACTGTGTTTACCCCCAACAGGTCTGACTAGGTTCAGCTACCTTTAGTTCTTCCCTTTGGGAGCTGTGACCACTGGTTATTACAGTGACCCAAAAGTGCCTTTTTAAAAAAACAAAGTACTGTTTAATCTTAACATAGGAACACAGCGTAGCAAGAGAAAAGAATTGTTAAAACAATGAACAGCCTATACACATCTATCTTACCTAAGGGCTAAGGTAGACCTCTCAACTCAGAACCCCACTCCCGCAACCTCTGCCGGGATAAGACTGCTTCCCAACAGTCTCCGCCTCAAGCTCTTCCTGAACCATCTGACCACTTGTGAGAGCATCCTGTGTTTTTAAACCCTTCTGAGGCTTTGATAGCTCTTCTCTCACACAATTCAATCTCACCATGTCTTTGAAAGAATGAGAGTTCTCCAACGCTCAGTTAGGGGCTGGAAGGTGAGATTTTCAGCTCGAGCAGAGATACGCGTGCTACATCTGATCAGACTAGTGCGCTAAAAATAGAAGTGTAGCCGCAGCAGCGCAGGCTAGCTACCCCAGTATGTACCCGTCCAAGACGCAAAGTATGTATTCGGGGCAGCTAGCCCACTACATAGCCATGGCTACATTGCTAGGTTCTTTCCTCCTCAACACCCTAATGCACTTAGGGAATGTCTGTGCTGGCGCTGGAAGGTGTAATTCCAGCTTGGGTAGACATGCCTGCACTAGCTCAGGTGTAGTTCCAATGTAGATATACCCTTAGTGCAGGGTTTCTCAAACTTCATTGCATCGTGACCCCCTTCTGACAACAAAAATTACTACATGACTCCAGACAGGAGGGCCAAACCCAAAGTCTGAGCCCCGTCACCCGAAGCCAAAGCTTGAGGGCTTCAGCCCTGGGCAGGGGGGCTGTAACCTGAGCCCCGCCACCCAGGGCTGAAGCCCTTGGGTTTCGGCTTCAGCCCTGGGTGGTGGGGCTCTGACTTCGGCTTCATCCCCGGGCCCCAGCAAGTCCAACGCCAGCCCTGGCGACTCCACTAAAACAGAGTCATGACCCACTTTGGGGTCCCGACCCACAGTTTGAGAACAACATAAGAACGGCCGTACTGGGTCAGACCAAAGGTCCATCTAGCCCAGTATCCTGTCTACTGACAGTGGCCAATGCCAGGTGCCCCAGAGGGAGTGAACGTAACAGGTAATGATCAAGTGATCTCTCTCCTGCCATCCACCTCCACCTTCTGACAAACAGAGGCTAGGGACACCATTCCTTACCCATCCTGGCTAATAGCCATTAATGGACTTAACCTCCACGAATTTATCCAGTTCTCTTTTAAACCCTGTTACAGTCCTAGCCTTCACAACCTCCTCAGGCAAGGAGTTTCACAAGTTGACTGTGCGCTGTGTGAAGAAGAACTTTCTTTTATTTGTCTTAAACCTGCTGCCCATTAATTTCATTTGGTGGCCCCTACTTCTTGTATTATGGGAATAAGTAAATAACTTTTCCTTATCTACTTTCTCCACATCACTCATAATTTTATATACCTCTATCATATCCCCCCTTAGTCTCCTCTTTTCCAAGCTGAAAAGTCCTAGCCTCTTTAATCTCTCTTCATATGGGACCCGTTCCAAACCCCTAATCATTTTAGTTGCCCTTCTCTGAACCTTTTCTAGTGCCAATATATCTTTTTTGAGATGAGGACACCACATCTGTACACAGTATTCAAGATGTGGGCGTACCATCAATTTATATAAGGGCAATAATATATTCTCCGTCTTATTCTCTATCCTCTTTTTAATGATTCCTAACATCCTGTTTGCTTTTTTGACTGCCTCTGCACACTGCGTGGACATCTTCAGAGAACTATCCATGATGACTCCAAGATCTTTTTCCTGATTCATGGTAGCTAAATTAGCCCCCATCATATTATATATATAGTTGGGGTTATTTTTTCCAATGTGCATTACTTTACATTTATCCACATTAAATTTCATTTGCCATTTTGTTGCCCAATCACTTAGTTTTGTGAAATCTTTTTGAAGTTCTTCACAGTCTGTTTTGGTCTTAACTCTCTTGAGCAGTTTAGTATTGTCTGCAAACTTTGCCACCTCACTTTTTACCCCTTTCTCCAGATCATTTATGAATAAGTTGAATAGGATTGGTCCTAGGATTGACCCTTGGGGAACACCACTAGTTACCCCTCTCCATTCTGAGAATTTACCATTTATTCCTACCATTTGTTCCCTGTCTTTTTAACCAGTTCTCAATCCATGAAAGCACCTTCCCTTTTATCCCATGACAACCGCTGCCTTTAGTGTATTAGGGATGTTCAGAAGGAAAGAAACCATTAGCTGTTCTAACTCTGCCATTCCAAAAGCCTTGCAAGGTAACTAAAACTTAGCAGTCCTGTGTTTTCAAGCAACATTTTAATACTATTTCCATTCCCAAAGCATCTGAGACGGTTATTTATAATTTCCCTTAGGTGGGCACTAAGTCCAAGCATAACTAGCAAGCTAAACCACATCTTTGTGGAAGGCTAATAACCTTTGCAGGCTGTAAACACCTGTACGGTTTACTTCTACTCAGTAACACTAGAAGCTGGGACCAGATTTGAATTATATGACCAAAGGCAGGAGAAGAAAATTTTTCCCAGGTACCATATAATTTATTATGGCACACTGAACAAAATCTTGTATATATTAATCAACCTATCTCCTCTCAATGTAACCTAAAGACAAAAAAAACAAAAACAGAACCACCCAGCACTATGTAGGATCTTATGTATGTGCAGGTTAAGGATGTTGTGCTAAAACCAGAGATCTGATGGGCTGAATATCAATCTACTTTGCAATAGGAAGTAAATAAAACTTTATGAAGAACTGTACAGAAGGTTCCAGGATATATCTTGATCATTTTTTTTAGTGCCAGAAATAAAAGAAAAAAATACCATACTTCCCTCTCGATAAGATACTAGCTGCTAATTATGGTCATGCTACCGTATTTACTGCAGCATTCCAGACACAGCTGCCAACCAAAACAGTTTTGCCTGGCTCCTGGGAAGGGAATATTGTTATCTATATTCCAGTATAATGCAGAGAGATGGAGAGAGAAAGAGGCAAAGACCTGTGAAAATATCAGATTTAGGGATTTCTTTTTTATGCCATTTCTCTGTCCCCTGCCTAAACTATGAGTTGGACATTCAAGAACGTACATTAATTTAGCTGGAAGTCACACTTAAAAACTGTTTTTAACTCTCTAATAAAAATAGCAGCCAATTTTAGAAGTGACTAGTCTTTTGCGTCCCTGACTTGAGATGCCTTAAAAGGAGCTTGATTTTCATATAGTGTTGAGCAAGCACCTTGGGGGGGGGGGAAAAACCAGAAAAGGAGGGTTTTGAAAATCTTGGCCAGTAAGGGTAGATCTACACTGTGATTAAAAACCCGCTGCTGTCCCATGCCAACTGACTTGAACTCACAAGGCTCGGGTTAAGGGGTTGTTTGAATCCAGCGTAGATATTAGGGCTTGGGCTGGAGCTTGGGATCTAGAACTTGGGATCTAGAACTGGGAGGCTCCCAGAACCCGGACCACTGCCTGAGCCCAAATGTCTGCACCGCATTTAAACAGTCCCTGACTCTGAGGCCCACATGTCTGAGTCAGCTGGTAGGATGCTGTCTAACTGCAATGTAGTTAGACAGCATCATTTAGGTGTACCAAATCAACCTGCAGTCCTCTCTCTCCTGACACAACAGTGAGCAAGCATTAGTTTCTCACAAAATTTCCATCTAGTTTCTCTCAGCAAACAAAGCAAAGCAGTTCAGAGATCAATGTGACTCAAAAAAAGAGCATGAGACTTCTCCACCAATTTTCTCTCTATTTCACAATTCTCTAAATGACTATATAGGGGAATAACCCCAGCTACTAATATCAAAGACATCTCAGTAAAAATCATGTGCCACCGTACATACAAAGAGATTCAAGGATTTTTCAAATCTCTGAAAAGAGCTGTTGCGAAATCATGTTGACATCTGTTATGCCATGAACGTTGCCAGGACACAGGAGGCAACTCCCAAGTTAAAGAAATTCAAAAGAATAAACATTGTTTAATCCTTTCTTCCATTTGCAAACTCATGAACACATTTGCTACATAGGCTGATTCTCCGGCAAAGCAAGAAAAAATGGGGTCTGGGGCCGGGTAGGAGGAATTTCCAGTAACAAAACCAATGCAGTAGACTCAAAAGAACTCTGGGATTCAACTGTTTTTTGTACAAGCCTCTTGAAATACATACTGTAGGAAGTATAACATATAGCAGACCGTGTATTTTTTTGGCTGAATTATGAAGGTAATACTCACTCAGTGCATACAGGGAGAGGATTATTCCAGCCAGGCAAAACCCTTCAAAAAACCTGAGTGTGCTGAACATTGTCACATTTACTGAGAGAGCCACAGTCAGTCCAAATATCAGAATGAATATGACCGAGAAGAGTAGCACTGGCCGTCGACCAACCCTACAAATGGGAAGGAAGTGGGGAGAATAGTGTTAAAATCCAAGGTGGACACAATGCTAGATGCTTATCTCTTGCAGAGGACATAGGCACAGATGGGAACAAATTACACAGTTCCTCCCAAATGCTGCTACCAATTTTTAATAGCAGCCAACACAAATTTCCCCCCTCCACACACAGACACTTCTCGTATTTCTGCTTATTAAATTCAATTATTGCTTTGGTTAGTCTTGCAAAGATTTCATAGACAAATTAATTTATGAACAGATTAAAGCAAATGGCATTAAGTGCATCACTATTTAATATAAGAGCCATTTTCAAAGCCTGAAAGTGAATAAAACAGCAAATAAATATATAAAAATTGCAGTAAGTGCAAGCCATTAACAAAAGTTATTACAGGCGATTTGGGAAAAAGCCCTTAGTTTTCCATGGTGAGGAAAGGTCACTTGATTAATAGAAGCTCTCTCTCAAGAGAAGAGACATTTTCCATGCCCATTACATTTACCAGAGAATTCTTCTCTTGCCACATGCTTCAACTCCACAAATCTCAGCTTTCGTTTAGTTAAAAACTAAGTTTCTAGCCCCCATGGTTGTGGAAACAGCCTCAAAAATGTAAACCAAGCATAAACTGAAGAAGCATCACTTTCCTGAGTCTTCAGAGAGCCTGAAGCAACACCTCTAAAAGGGTTGAACTGCTTTATTCATCTCAATCAGCACCCCCATGGATTCCACAATCCACCAGCTATGAAACGCGGAGTATTTCCAAAGGGCCACAGGATTCAACATTATTTGCGGCCAGACACCTGCCATTTTGTTTTGGACAAAGGATGCAAGCAGCAGTGTATGGGATGAGATATTCAGATGCACTTGCAGATACATGCATCTAATGCTATAAAATATGCACTGCTGTCAAAAGAAAAATGGTCTAAAGACAGGATGTGAGGGGCATACTCTGTGCGTATACAAGCATGAATATTGCCATACACTGAAAATTCTAGGTAAGCCCAATTTCCAGTGATCACGGTGCTCCTGTAGAAAGAAGCAGTAAAAGTTTTTGGCAGCACATTGTGCTAGCCCATAGAGTGACAAACTGCCCTACTACAGAAGGATGTCTTCTGCAGTGCCCATACCACACTGTATTAGAACACGTGCTGCCATCCATAATACACTGGTTGTTGGATAAGGATTTGGCCCCAAGTTTGAATAAATGGAGTCTCCAATGCTGGATCCCATAGATCTTCCACCTATACCTACCCACACAGCTAAGGTTTCCCCTAATAATTACTTGGTGAATGAAAATCACTATAGTGTCATGCGGTCATTACTTATCACTTTAGAAGTTTCCTTCTAAAGGAATACCATCAACTTAAAAATCTGTATGCTGCAAACAAATGTCATTATCTAGATAACTACCACAAACTCGGATTATTAAAAGTGAAAATTTTCAAAATCCAATTTATGCTCTCTCTCAACTTAGACAATGCAAATAAATTAAGCCAGTTTCCCTTTTGGTCACCTGCATATGTGTTTCCCAAACTTTTAAAAGCTGAGCACCCTACCCACACCGCTTTGCGGGACAATGAAACAAATCATTCACTCTCACTCATCTCCCCACAACTCTGCCACATGTTGTTTAAGATCTATCCTAATTTTAGAATTTTATTTAAATGAAATAAAACCATATTCCATTGTACATATCCGTAAGGCTTTATTTTAAGGAACAATGAATATTTAATACTGGACATTAAAGAAATATTTCAATGCAGATTATTTTATTATTTAAAATTGAAATTAAGATGCTGTGAAGCTTTGGGCCACATTGCCTCACACATGCAGCAGGGTTCGCCTCCTCACAGCTGTGAGGTATGGCACCAAAGTGATCAGTAATCATGTAAATCTTCATAACACCACATCTCCTTGCGTCTCTTCCATGCTTCAATCAGTAGTGAAAAAAGTATAATCAACTGAATTAGCATCCACTGGAATGAATGGGGCAGGTTCAAACCATAAAGCTATTGTTTCAGGCTCTCTACAAGCTCAAGCAGATATCACTTTGGTCACAGTATAAAGTTTTTCTTTGTAACCATACCAACTAGAGATTTTTTTAAAGTGAAAACAGATTCTGGAGAATAATTGAGAATTCTATGAATGCTCCCATTCCCCAATAATCCAGAGGGATGTACCCCACACTTAATGAAGATATATGTGTTCTTAATACTGCAATATTTGGGTTTCAAACAATGCAAGGGAATGTTCATTTGTTTCAAAACAACTTTTAAAAAATAGCAAAACAGTGGAAAGGTTCATAAAGGCCCTTTAAAAATAAGATGAACATTCTGGGCCAAATGTGAGCTGACATTGTCCCTTTTATCAGCAAATATGGCTAAAAAGTAATTTGTGATTGTAGCATCTATTTGAGAGAACACTAGAGGCTAGTGCTATCTAAAACAAACGCTTTGTTTTTACATAATTAGAAAATATGTAATTTTGCTCTGTCATGACAGCAGTAACAAAGTGTGTCAACAGCAAATAATTAGAAATCAATGGTTAAGTATTTTCCTTTTATGTTATTTATCATGCTATAAATGACTCAGCCCAAGCAATTAAAACAGTTTTGTACTGCCAACTCATGCTACTCTTTTCAGAGATTTGCAGATCTAATTATCAAAAGGTTCTTCCTGAATAGTAACTTTAAAAAAAAAAGTTCTACAGAGATGCTAAATATCTTTATTCATTTAAATTATATAGCATTAAAAGATTTTTCACTCACCAGTCAGCTATACATCCTGTTATCAAGTAGCCAAAGATTAAGCCTACCAGTAGGGAGAATTTAGCAATATGGACCTTCCAGGAAGATTCACAAACGAGATCCCACTGAAAGAAGAAGAGAGATAGGTACATTGAAACATACTTGGTTCCTCTCTGGTGCATTTAAACATACAGACGTTGTTGTAGCTGTTTTCAATTTTAGCATTCACACTTAAAAATGTTCTTAATTCATTGTTCAAGTCCAAATCCAATTCACATTACTGAGAATGAAAAGACTCTCCTTTACTTCGGTGAGAGTTGGATCAGGTGCTTAGTTATACACTAATAAATTTGGTCATTTAATCTTTCTTCTCAAGTTTGTTTATTTGGATTTATAAAAATGGGCATCTATCCATATGTTCTAGGTAGTCTTGAACTAACTTTAAAATATATCCAAACAATACCCCAACATGTCAAAAGTGCAGCAGTAGAATTCTATATAAACCACCACCAGGAAACCAGACAATTTCAAATCTCAGATTTCCCTAATCCTCTGTTTTCAAATGCCTGGGGAAGATGATCAGTTTCGTAACAGGCCTCAGAGTCACCCGGTTCAGGCTACTTCAGACCAATTAATGATAAGCTTTTTGCAACACTGTATAGTATCCCCCATCAGTACTCCACTTTCTCTAGAGTAAGATAGGCTGATGGTGTAAGAAAAACAGCCTGCACTTAGGAAAGGCAACGTTCTATTGACACAGAGGTAAGAAGAGCAGTAGGAGAATCAAGTGCAACTGTGTGTCGGCCTGATTCAGCTCTTTCCACAGTGCCATTTATGGTGCAGTGACAAGAGGAAGGCGGAATTGCACTCTAAAACCATCTCAGTTGCTGAAATTGTAGTACTCCAAAGGGGGAGTGTAAATGAGTGGCCTCCTCCCAAGTGACCCCTCATGGCCTCAGGGCAACCTGCAAGTGGCCTCACTTCAGTTTCTCTCTTGAATCCCAGTAACTTCAATACAAACACGTCCTCAAGGCCATCACAGTTTAACAACAAAACACAGTGCAAAAGTCCACGACCAAAAACCCTACACATAGTCCGTATAACCCCAGTGCATGAGATCTTTAACACTCAGCTCCCTTCCCACCATCCTGGTGTCTTCTGCCAGACCTAGACTCTTTCACAGTCCTCCTCTGTCCCTCTGCTGGGATCATCGCCCCAGTTTTCCTTCTGAGGTATGACCTTGCTCTTTCCAGCCAAAACTCACAGCCTCTCCAGTGGGAGCCTCTCATGCTTCCTCTAGAACCTAGCTCTCTGAAGGAGATGCCAGCAGATAAGCCCCTTGGCTTGTCCCCTTCCTTCAGTCCCCTGGACCTTAGCTCTGGCTTAGGATCAGCAGGCATTTCCCTCTTCTCCCATCTTCAGCCCTCTCCAGCCCTACTTCTCAGGCTTGGGGAGTCCAGCCTGGAAACCCCTTGCTGTTCTCTTGCATTCAGCCCTCTACCAGGAACAGCTCTTCCTGACTGAACCAGTTGGCTCTAATCCTCTGGCAGTTCCTTCTACCAAGCCTCTCTCAGGCACCTCCTACCTGCCCCAGATGCTGCCCTGCTCTCTTAAATAGCCCAACTCGGTGCTCCTGGACTGGAACAGAAGAGCTCAGCTCTATTTTATTACATGGGCTAGCTACTCTGTTACAGGGAGGCACAGTATTCCAGGAATATCATCACTAGAAAACTATCACATCCTGCCCGATTTCCTGCAAGGAAAAGAAAACTATCAAGAAAAATTGCTCTGTAATTTCCATTCATTTTCCCAACATCGGAAAATTTTGTGGTGAAGGCATTGGCCAGGGCCTCAGGAGATCTGGGTTCAAATCCTGGCTCTGCCCCAGACTTCCTATCCATAATGTGGAGGTGGTAATGCTTCCCTACCTCATAGGGGTGTTAGGAGGATAAATTCATAATGTTTGTGAGATGTTCAAATACTAGTGCAATGGGAGCCATGAATATTCCTAGAGAGATATTTGCAGCTTTCTAAATTAAGTGCAATAGATATTGGCGGGGGAAGGAGAGTGCTGTTCCTTTCCACCTTAATTTGAAGTGTACATGGTCATCCATGTGCAAGGTAATGGCCCAATCAACATTTTGCAGGACATGACTGCAAGATCAAACATACAGAATCAAATAAGTCATTTGCTTTTCAATTATGTATTTAGAACCAACGTCCCAAGTGAATGTTAGATTAGATGCATTTGGGGTTAGGTGGATTTGCAGGATTCATTAATCTCACAAAAGGGGGCTAGATTTAAGCCCATCTGGTTCCAATAAGAGACATGCTCCCTGCAAAATGGTGAGTGGAGTATACCATTTGACAGAAAGCATAACACCTGCTTGAGCAGCACCATCTCAATAGAAGTCAGGAGAGATTATACCAGCAACACACCATCCAATTACATTGCCAGCCATTCTTTATGTAACAGTATATGCTATTTATTAAGTACAGCATATTAGCCTTTTGCAGATTAATCCATCCCTCTACAAACACCTGAGCTCAGTCTTTTGAAGCCACACCTATTTTTCCTCTCCCATAGTGTGCTGTCACTGAAGCACAACCTGCATGATGTACATCTGTGATAGTCTACTACTGAGGCCATTTGCAGGCTATGTGCTGCATGTCTAAAGGGGGCACTCAGGCAAAAGTGGTCAATATCAAGAAGCTAATAGTAAAAGTAAATATTTCTCACCAAGTGCTTACAAAGTATTTACTGTAATCCGTGAGCAAGGCACGAGACTTACTGTTAGAATGACAAATTTGTCAAGTTTACATTTTTAAAGGCGTTTTTATTGGGGATGGAGGGAAATGCAATTAATGCCAATTTGCACACACAAACCAGACCTCAGGATTTTAGGGTTACTATATATTCACAAACACAAAGTTACATATGACCTCTAGAAATGTTTTCCAAGTGAAGATGGGTTACCTTGCTAATCGTGAGGTTGCATAATGCCCAGCAGTAGGATAAATCACTTGTGAAGGTGGATTGCAAATTGAGTTCACGTTATGTCAAAATAGTTATATTAAAACACTATTTAAAAGAATAATTTAAAGGCCATGTATACAAATCTGCCATTTTCATTTTGTTATTATCAGAGAAACAGTAATGTTATCCAAAGGCAAAAAGTGTGGATATCCTGGTGCATTTTGATACGCATGGCATGCTATTACTTGTCAACAAAGAGACCTGACCATAATACAAACTGAAGATAGCAGATGTTCAGAAAGATTACATATGGGTGAGGGTTCAAGGTTCAAAAGTGCTGAAATCTCATGAGTTACTCATGTAATATTTCAGGCCAAGACAAAGGAAATCTGACAAATTCAGCTGCTCTATTATATGCAGTAATAGTAACTCGTTTTTGGAATTTTTTAGCCTATCACCAGGCCCCGATGGAGTCCTCAGAATCCACCCTTTGTTACAGAATTATGAACCTGAACCTAAGGTTTCAATTTTTTTAAATTAAGAGCCAGATCCTCAACTGATAAAAGTCATCATAGCACTACTGGCATCAGTTTACACCAAGAGAGCGTCTACCCCTATGTTTCTAGTGTTGTGCAGTTAGTCTTGAAAGCATGATCTAATGTAAGCCAATGCAGCACAGACTTCCTGGGTCTGTAGATGGTCTGTAACAAGAATTCTGAGAGGTCTGATCAGACCCATAAATCCCAATGAATTAGTAACTCTAAAAATTATAGATGACAATTTAAAATGTCACCATTTTAAAACTCATGTATCAGAGGGGTAGCCATGTTAGTCTGGATCTGTAAAAAGCAACAGAGGGTCCTGTGGCACCTTATAGACTAACAGACGTATTGGAGCATAAGCTTATGCTCCAATACGTCTGTTAGTCTATAAGGTGCCATTTTAAAACTATTTCACAGCTTATTGTTTTAGCAGAAATTTTCAGCTAGTGTACCAGAATCCCAAATTGCCTAGACCCCCAGTTTATCCAGCTTCCCCCATTACAACTGCCACAAACCAGAGATAAATTATGCCAAACTATACACAGATTATCTACACCTAGCATGCACACAGAGATGTAATAGTTGTATTGGGCTACATAGTGCCACAATTTTCTTTGGGCAGAACTCCTTGCTGGTTTCACTGGGTTGTTCTGCATGAAAACTGATAGCATGCTCAATAGTATGCTCAAATAAAAGGTTGCCACATACATAAAATGTAATGTTTTGTTTTCTCTTGAACACGTTACATAAATTGACATTCTCTTTTTTCCTCCCGCTGCACAGAGAAATAGAAACAATAAGGAACTTGTCCGATTCAAAATATAACTGATTCCTCCAGACTTCCATATTAGAAGTTTTTGCTATATATACACACACACATAAAACATTCAAACTCAATCCAGTCATAAACCAAACATGGAAAAATTCAGCCCAAAACCTTCTGACAAAGTTATAAGCATCTAAAAAACAGAGTTGTAAGTAATAGATAATAGGTATTGCTGCCATTCCACCTGTACTATCACATATTCTACACCCAAGTGCATGGATATTGCATACACACACAATTTAATATAGAAGCTATTTAACAGCACAGAACACGGTCACTACATTACATTACATAAAAGACAGTTATTGTTCCATAACTGGTGTTCTTCGAGATGTGTTGCTCATGTTCATTCCATATTAGGTGTGTGTGCTCGTCACATGCACCGGTGCCGGAAGTTTTTCCCTCAGTGGTACCCATTGAGGACCAGCTCTGGCATCCTCTGGAGTGGCGCGCACATGCCGCTGTATAAGGGGCACCGCCGGCTCCCACCCTCAGTTCCTTCTTGCCAGAAACTCTGACAGTGGGGAAAGAGGGCGGGTCATGGAATGGACATGAGCAACACATTTCAAAGAACACCAGTTACAGAACAGGTAACTTCGAGTGCTTGCTCATGTCCATTCCATATTAGGCGACTCCCAAGCAGTACCAACGGAGGCGGGTAGGAGTTCATGGACATGTAGGTTGCAACACAGCTCTGCCGAACCCAGCGCCGTCTCTGGCCTGCTGAGTGATGGCGTAATGCGCAGTGAAGGTGTGAACCGAAGACCATGTCGCAGCTCT